ATATACATATATACATGTATATATATATATACGTATATAGTCGCAGTTTGTCAACAAACATGCAGCGGAAATTAACGCAGAACTTGTGAATTTTATACTAGTTCCGCCCTCGGCAGTAAAAAAAAAAAAAATAACAACAACTATTGACTCGAGTGTCCGGACTGAGAGCAACAAGAAGAAGAGGAAGGCCATAGAAAATAATATAAAGCCTTTTCGATTTGAATACCTAAAATCGTGTCGAGAGCTCGTATAAATAGAGCGCGCCCACTTGAATGGTCTAAAAATACGAGCGAGTGGTTCATTTGACACATCTATTTATCTATTAATTTATCTCTGTTTTATCCAACGGCTGCACTCGCGCCGCATAAATCAGGAGCGCCGTTTCAATTGAACCGATCGAACAGTTGCCCGCCAAACATGCTGCTGGCCGTTAATCAGAGTGTGAGCAATTCGAAGAAGCGACGCGACGCAGAGGCAACAGGCGAAACATCGACAACATCGACTACGGCAACATCACAGAGCAGCGCCTCCAGAGAGCTGACAGATTCCAGCACGCAGCTGGTGGCCAACATGCTGCTGCCGGATGAGGCGAGTGGCGTGGGCATGGGCGGCGTCTGCCAGAGTTGCCAGCATCGCCAGCGGCAGAGTTGCCAGCCGGCTGGCTGCAAGTGCAGCTGCAACTGCATCAACAAACTGGACGCCCCGCCGCCCACGTCCCTTGTCCTCGTCTATTTGTACTTGGGCGCACTTACTCTGATGCTGGCCACACTGTCGATACTCTTCTACACGTACACCCAGGCGGGCGAGGAGTCGGTGACCGTGGGCGTTCATCAGCGTCAGCGGGAGCAGCGGAACCAGTTCCAGGACGAGTTGTTGCGCTCCGAACACATTCTGCGCGCCATGGTCACCCAGATCATGGAAAGGGACTATCCCATGGCGGCGAGGTGCGTTTGATAATGCCAAGTTCTAGTTCCTCTTCAATTTACAATTCAATTTTCTGCATTCTACTAGTCCCGGTTCAATTTAGTTCTTTTATTACTAGTTCCAGTTCTAGTTCCAGTATGAGACACTACCGGAAAGCATTGATAATAGATTCAGTTCGTCTTATAGGTTTAGTCCCAACTCTAGTTCCAATTCCTTTTCCAGTTTTCATTATTAGGATTCGGATTCACTCATTCGGTTCATTGAAATATGAACAATCCAAGTTTTATCTACAAAATTAGTTCCAGCTCAGGGATCTCAAATATTGCCTCTCGTTTCCTCTCATAATAAGATAAGCGCTATGAAGTCTTCTGCTCAGTTAAAGTGGCATCTATAATTCATATATGTGATTCAACCTTAGTTCATTTATATATTCCAATCCCTTTGCAGTCCTACAACAGCGCAGCCGATGAGCATAGTCCGCAACGAGCGGAAGATGAACAACAATTTCATTAGCCAATTGCCAATAGAGAAGCGCTTTCGCAGAGACATCGCCTCGTCGTCTCCCGCCTCGATGCATGGTAAGTCAAGCAATGCCAGAACTAGTTCAATCCAGTTCAATGACCGAACCAGTTGAATCTATATATTGTATGTACTTGCAGCAGATCCATTGATTGAGTTCTTTAATCCCAACCATCGCAAGGCTCTGGAGGAGCAGGACACAGAGATACGCAAGCGAACGGGTCTGAAGGGCGCGGCCCCAGGCGGGGATGAATGGATCTATTTGAATACGTATTGCCGTGTGCCCGAAAAGATTATCACGGGCTTTTGCAAGGGCACACAGGAATACTGCCCGCCAGCCCCAGCTGGCCCAATGGGCCCAGTAGGACCCAAAGGACCCACCGGCAATCCCGGCCTGCCGGGCATACCCGGTCCCAAAGGGAATCGCGGAGACGTCGGCCTGCCGGGAGCACCAGGCGTCGACGGTGTGGGCCAGCAGGGAGCACCGGGTCCTCGTGGCCCCAAGGGTGATCCTGGGGCCGTGGGCCGCGCCGGTCTGGATGGCCGAGACGGCGTACCCGGTGAGCCGGGATTGGATGGGGTGCCGGGTCGAGCTGGAGCCGACGGCAAGAACGGTCTACCCGGACGCGATGGCAAGGATGGACTGAATGGCAAAGATGGCAAGGATGGCATGTCCATAACAGGTCCAAAGGGTGCTCAAGGTCCACCCGGTGAACGAGGGCTGAAGGGTAAGTGAGGGTAAAGTTAGCTTTCGATGATTTCAACCTCCCCTTCTCCCACACTCTCGCGCTCACAGGCATAGCGGGTCCACGCGGACGTCCGGGCAAACCGGGCACCAACGGCACACCCGGCGTGCCTGGCATCAACACCTGGAAGATGCAGTATCCCAATGGCAGCGCCTCCAATGATCTGCTCATACCACCTTCCATCACAGGTGAGTAATCCCTGAGAGCTTTGCGTTGCCCTTGAGCTAAGATCTACCCTAACGGCAGATGTCAATGCGCCCAACTTCCGACGCAATGTCATCGTCGAGGAGGGGAAGACGCTCAACATGAGCTGCTCGGCGACGGGCAATCCACAGCCCCAGGTGGAGTGGCGTCGCGACGATGGACGCACCATCAACGTGAACGGCATCGAGCGTAAGTAGAAAATGCCTGCATAGCTCTGTGAGGTAATTCCTAATAAGCATGTCTACCGTGCGACAGTGAGCTCCATTAGTGGACAGTTTCTCAAGTTCGGCAACATTACGCGACATCAAATGGCTGCCTACACCTGCTATGCCAACAATGGCATTGCGCCCGTTGCCAACGCCACGTTCCTGGTCGAGGTGCACTGTGAGTAGCAAAGGAAACCAATTCGAGCAGCTTGTAACACCTTCTCCCTCGTGGCAGTTGCGCCGATGATATCTGTCTACCGGCAAATGATCTATGCGGAGTACCAGAGCAGCGCCACCCTGGAGTGTCAGGTCGAAGCCTTTCCGGAGGCTATACGGTACTGGGAGCGGGCCTACGATGGCAAAATACTGGATCCAAGTGATAAGTATCGCATTGAGTCCTATCCAGATGGGTAAGTCACTCACTCTTATAGAGCTCTTCGTAAAACTCATATACAACTAAATATTTCCCTGCAGTTTCAAGACCTCCATGCGTTTGACCATAAACAACCTCCGCAAGGACGACTTCGGCTACTACCATTGCGTGGCACGCAATGAGCTAAATGCGACTATGGTTAATTTCGAAATAGCGCGTAAGTTCGACTCCTCAAATACGCGTTCAGATGAGTGGCTATCAAATGACTTCCTTTGGTATTTATAGCTCAGGATCCAAACAGTGAGATTCCCTATGTGGGCAACAATGTCAAGATCTACGGACAGCGGCCGCCCGAAAGCGAGTGTCCCGTTTGTGATCAGTGCCCAGACCCTAGGTGAGTAGTGCTACTTCATTGCCCGCTATCTCAAACAGAAGTCCTCTATCTACCTATGCTCATAGCTTGTATCAATGCAAGGATTCCATACTCAACAACTTTGAGATACAGCCGACAGGCAATCGCAGTTACCCGGGCTTGCCGAAGCGTGTGAAAAGTAAGTGTCCGATGGAGCTTACTAGTTCAGGGTTATAACATATCCTCTCTTTGTTCACAGCCTGTTATCTATATGCAGTGGGTAAGCCCGTTTTCCACAAGGTGGTGAATGAGAAATATGGCTCCTGGCTGCGCGATCCAGCGCCAAGAGAAGTCGATCGGGAGAAAACCTTTGTGACCAACGAAAATGATGCCTATAACCTATTCGAGTTCTCCACGCGCACGCAATATCGAGTGAACAGTGTGCCCAGGCACAAGTACGAAATATCTGAAGGTTTTCAAGTAAGTCGATGATGTAATATCAGCAAATCTGTTCTCTAGAACTATCGAATTCCTAGGGCAATGCACACGTCGTCTACAACGGTTCATTCTACTATCAACAGAAGAACTCCGATTTGGTTGTCAAACTGGACTTGACGACCTCCAAGAAGATAAGTAAGTGGCTCTCCTTTATGAGATATACAAATATATGTATATTGATAGCTACAAATATGAAACTCTTATAGGCGTTCAGTTGCCATATTCGGGAATTGCGACTGGCAATCGACTCTACGCAACTGACTATAATTATATGGACTTCAACGTGGATGAAGTCGGTCTTTGGGTTATTTACAGCACGCTCGGTTCGAACAATACTCTGGTAGCTAAGGTAAATCTCTCTCTCTCTCTATCTCCCTCTCTATCTCGTCTCTATATATATGTCGCGTCTATTTTTGTAGCTGGATGCCGAGACGTTGCGCATGCAGTATAATTTTAATATAACACTTGATCATAAACAATTCGGCGAAATGTTTATTGTCTGCGGCAATTTGTATGCCATCGATTCGGGGACCGATAAAAATACACAAATTCGCTACGTCGTGGATCTCTACAAGGGCAAACTGCTCAACGCGAATCTGCCCTTCTCGAATCCGTTCAGCTACACGACGACAGTCGGCTATAATCCCCTCACAGTGGTAAGAGTCTAGCTGCTGTCTGGTTTGGGCCCATGTTGAGTATTATCTATTTTGTTTTCAGGAATTATACTCTTGGGACAAGGGTAACGCACTCACATATCCTATACGCTATAACGAACATCGTCTAGTTACAGATAATATCTAAGTCAAATGTTTACTACAAATAAATACAAATTGTTCTTTTTTTTTACCACATATATTGTCATTGATTATCTTAATTAGCGCGTCAATTTGGTTGGGTTAGGTTAGGCAATGCTGGGTTCGCTATTTTCTAAGGTATGTGGAGATAGCGGAAAGTTACTTTATACACATGAAACCATTCCAGCTAAAGGTTAGCGAACCAGGTTAAGTAGAGAGAGACAGCAGAAACATAATTCATGACATATCTGAAGATCTTAGAAGTTGGGTCTGAGCATAATATGCATGGTTAATGACATGGAAAGTTGAGATGGACTAGAGCTAAGAGCTCTTGAAAGCTGATTATTATTTGTTTGACTATTAAGCTCAATGAGACAGAGCAGACTTGAGTTTGAAAATATCATAGGATAGACCATATTTTATAATGGATATATCGTCTATCAACGAGGAATATTTTACTGTAAATTACCTTAGATGAGTGCGGGAGAACACAATTCAGAGTGGTTGATCAATTCACGAACTGCCACTCACTCTGGCAGTTGTATTAATTAAGCCATTTGAATGCATTTCATATTCTATTACAGCCATCCATAACTCGATGTATTTACTTATCACACTTGCACAAACAATTTCCGCTCAGCGATTGCACTTCTCATCAGCAACTTGAAACTGAGTATGCATAATGAAATACGATATTATAGCAGATTGGCTAGGTGCGAAATGTTTATTTGTGACAAGAGTCAAGCAAACAGCAGACAGAAATCACAGCTTAGCAAAGGCAAACAAATGTCTCAGTCGACACAATCAATAAACGGAATAATACAAACAACAGCTCTGATAACCTGGCCAATAAAGCACAAATACAAAGTATACATAATAAAGTCGAGTATTTATTAGATGCAATTTTAAGCTGACTAAGATGATGACGGAGCCCATCATACGAAATCTATATAGTGGAAAAGACTATCTTTGCTAATATGTATATCTATCTATACGTGCTAAGAGCTGTTATTCTATGAGCCCAAAGTGTCTGACGAAAGAGACAGAGATATACAGCTGGCAGCAAACAAACTCAAAAGTTTACACCAATGGAGCTTACTTGGCAATATTTCCACAACAACAACAACAACATATATGTCTATATTCCTTTGGATCTATATACACAATGCAAGGCAAATTGAGCAATGAGCTTCAAGCTCAATTTCCCATATATGTTTTAATAATAGTCGAGCAATTTCATTGTTTGCCTTTTTATACACTAAACCCATTGTGTATGGAGTTTAGGGGTATACCGTTTTTGTATAAGCGTATGTAACAGGCAGAGGAAGACATTAAAAATATAAATCTATTTTCAGCAGGGTGACCAGCTTGATCTCGATAGGAGAGACTTGAGAGATAAAATGTTGTACCTTAGACTGTACGAGTATGACATTTATTATTTCGATTACTCATTCCATTTGCAATATCATCGATAACAATCGATTACTTGACTCAGTTTTAAAGCGTTGCTAGAATAACACAAACCTAAGACTTAAAATTCACAGTGATGAATAAATGTTTCCTTCTTCGAGTACTTTAGCTTTCCCCAAATTTAAAATTAATGTATTTTAAATGGTAAAAAGAAATGTGCATTGGCAAAGACACACATCAGGATGTCATTATCATGCTCTAAAAATTTGATTAAAAAAGTTCAACAACAACAAAATTTGTTCAACAACTCAATTTTCCATAATAAAGCACATACATAAGCGCAGCCCAAGCCACGCCGATTTTTCAGTGTGTGTGACTGTGTGTGCTTATGTGGATGCGTGGCTGTATATGTGTGCATGTGTTGTTTGCGTTGGGCGTATAAAAGAAGCATTAAATGATTGGACTACAAGCTGTTCGCAACGAGCAAGGTATCACCTGGTCGGACACACCCGACTAGGGCACTCTTATGGTAAAATTGTTGAACTTATATGCATATTATCCAACTATCCAGAAATATATACTTGTAGTACTTGTTTCATTTTCAACATTGACCTTTGACAAACAAAAATGCGAATTTCAGCTGAATAAAATTCAATACAGAGAACGCGTTCGAACGTTGAGTATTATGAGCGCAAGAAGTTCTGTTGATTTTAAGAAATTTAGCATATCAAACACAGTCAGCTCATTCAAGGAGAAGAAGATTTAACTGACGATGGACGAACTACAAAAATTGAGCACAAAATGGAATTCGTCTACTGAAATATATGTATATATATTTATGTATATAGCATAGTCTTATTGCTTATAAATATTTCGTGCAACTGTGAAATTAATAGCAAATTCTGCTCTCTATGTTAACAAGGTCGTACCATCGCAATAGTATTAGTGAAGCTAAAGACTTGTCCAAAGTTGATGTTAAAATATTTGCTAAGGGAGTTTGCATCCTCTCATTGCTCTAGTTTATACTCTAATTCTCACTCCGTGAGTGGGAATCGAAGAAAGTGCAGAGCGTGAATCTCTGACGTTGCTGAGTGAGAATAAGATGGCCAGTTAGGCAATTCAGATACGGAAGCTCGACCACGTGACTGGATATTATTATTATATAGGTACATTGCAAGAACACTTCATGAAAGACGGAGATCAAATTTAAAAAATTGAATGAAAGTAGACCAAAGTAACATAAAATATTTTCTATGTATGCGCATCCTTAGTTAGGTGCTCTCCCAATCCAAGTCTCTTTTCCTCTCATGCTCTCACACTCCATTATAATTTAGATTATTTGATCACACCTAGAGCACAACGAGTAGAAACTCGGTGTTTCATTCTCAGACAGTTGATCTGCTAGGGGCACGTTTACTCTTTTTTACAACACTGGAATACTAGCCTAATACTATGTTGCAGTTATTGCCCATTGAAATAGGAAAATCATGGTACAATGTTTTGAAATAATGTTCTACTTTATTCTACTTTAATTTACTAATTTACAGCTCTTCGAGCTATTCTCATATTGAATTATATTATATTCGGATTTATTAATTCATTTTTTTATTCTCATTCGTATATGCAAATAGTCTTACTAATTTTTGAGTGGACATTGTCTTTTCTTATTGCTAATTTAGCTTGAAAAAAAAAAATGTAAACGGGACCAAATTGTGTTGCGAAAAATACCATAATAGGTTTATACTCTACTATATTATGAACACTATAATTCAGTCTATTTAGTCTTCAGTATAGTATATATACTGTGTCAATAAAATAATCTCTCACATACATACGTAGCACAGTTTTGTCCCCTCTAGCAATAGCCCCAAATTATTGATTTTTAAAATCGAGTTTAGCTCTTGCTGCAACATGAACGAGGCCCGGGCGCTGCACTTGTGCTGGTGCTGCAGCTGATTGATTGCTGCACTTGCAAAATAAATACAGATTTCTTTGTTCAGCTGAACACTTTGGCTGCAAACTGCCGTTGGCAACATTTCGCTAACTACATTTACCTATTCGAGCTGAATGCTCGGGGACTAGTCTCGGCTCATTTGCAATTAGTTGCAATAATGTTTACATTTGCCTCGTCTGCTTCATCAATTATGTGTGCCTGGCAGTTCGACTGCCCAGCAACAAGTACCTGGAGCAGACTGACTGACGTGAATGACTGATTGATATGCTGATTGAGGGACTGACTGACTGATAGACTGATAGACTGGCTGTCAGTGCTTGGCATCGAGCGTATTTCATGTCCTGACAGCCGCCCTCAACGGGCAGCCAGCTGTCACCTACACTCAGCTCCTGCTCCTGCTCCTGCTCCGGCTCCTGCTCTGGTATGCCTTTTACCAGCTCCTGCTCACCCACGGCGTGGCAGCTCTCATTGATTGCTTTGTGCTTTTGTGCCCAGCCAAAGAGTTGATTTTGTATCAAGCCACCGCCCACTCGCACAGACCCGCACCGCCCCGCCCCACCCACATTGGCCACATTTCAATTCCGTTTCACATTTGGGCTCATGTGCGTGTGCGCCGCACATCATACATATTTGGAGGCAGACACAGGCTCCTCCGCTTGTGCTGCATGCCTGACAATTTGCATTTCTCGTTTTCTTGCTGCAGATGCAGCTGCAGCAATTGCAGCAAGACCGCCCTGCCTCTCACTCGCCTCTCGCCCCGCGTCCCGCGTCCCGTGTCTCGCTCCTCTGGCCCAGCTGTATTTGCGTTTGTAATTGCGTGAGCAATTGCCAAATGCTTTCCTCACTGGATTTTCACATGCTTTTCGTATTTTCAGCTGCCTTCAGTCCCTGTTGTGTCTCCCCTTTAATCAACGGGACAAGCAGCTGACGGAATTGATTAAAAGTTTATCGCATTAGCAATTTGATGCCAGCTGCAAATGCAGCTCTGGACAAAATTTGTCAAATAACTCGAAATCGTTTCGTACTCAGCGTGCATACACAATCATCAATATCGAATTGTTTCCTTTGATGAGTTTTCGAATTTTTGCATTTACAATGGGATTAAGGCAATGGAGAAGCCTTTGAATTGGATTCCAACTATTTGCCCTTGTGCTATCTGCTTAAGTGTCTATAAAACTTGCAGTGAACTAGATAATGCCTGCTGAGTGAGCCACTCAGAATGCCAGAGCAGAATTTCCGACTTGCTGATTATGTGAAACTATGCAAAAATTGCCAAATATCAAGTTAAAGCAAGTGGAAACGAATTTCGTACAAGACAAAAACTGTTTGAAATATATAAATTATTGTTACGAATTGTATTTTTAAGCGTTGTACATATTATCTTCATTTGATTTTTTGATATTTTTCTTATATATCACATCATTAATTTTAAATGATTTACTTCATGATAGACGCTTTAATAGCATCTCGAATGTTGAGCTCAGTAAAGTGCAATCCTTCCCTGGAGCATAGGTATTAAGGGGTTAACTGAGTTGAGAAATTAAATATTTTTATATAGCTATCGAAAAGAAGCTCACTTTTATATATAGCTATATCAGAATCGTAGTCAAATATCAGAAACGTATAGTTATGGGCTATATAAATTGAATATATCATTCGTATTTCCAGCCGATATTTCAATCAGTTTATTAGTGA